GGTCCAACTGGCCTTCAGCTACTATTGTGTTGCCCGCTATTCAGTCGGATCCTAAACTGAACATTGAGATAGGTCCTTCAACACCTGTAGAAATCTAGCAAGTGGTAGGTAACTTGAGACGAGGAAGGGCAACGGGGCCAGAAGGATCAGTTCCTGGGTCATACAAAGATGGTGGTAGAGTGATTTTAGTCAAGCTAACTGAAGTGATTAGAAATGTATGGAAGTTAAATATGATCCCCTGTAACTGATCTCAATCACTGATAATCCTAGTCTTCAAGAAAAGCGAGAAGTTTTTTGTGATAACCACAGAGGAATCAGCCTGATGAACATAGTATCCAAGATTCTAGGTTCTGCAACCATTCGACACCTGAGTGGAACTCGGGGACAGCAAGCCCGGGAAAACAAAGCAGGTTTCAGACTTGGCCGTGGGTGTCAACCAAATATTCACACTCCGTCAAGTTCTGGAACACAGACACGCTTACCTATGCCAGAAAATAGCTGTTTTTCTATCTGAAGGCGGTGATCGGTCAAGAAGTCTTATGGCGATGTCTCTTACTCAAAGAAGTGCCGAGTAAGTACATCACCTGATTGAAGGCTCCCTACTCGAAGGAGAGAGTGTTAAAGCCTACGGTGAGATGTTAAGTGATCTGTGTATGTCGAATAGTGTCCGTCAAGAATGCCCACTATCTCTATTCTTAGTTAATTTTATCCTGGGTATTCTTATGGAGGTCTCCCTCTCGTCATCTGACTACACAACGATTGACCTAATCACAGGGGAATTTTTTCTAGACGCAGATGACATAGTCCTGTTAGGTGAATACACTGACAAGATGCAGTCTTATGATCACATTGAGTGGTAATTTGAGAATGTTTGGGATATGTTTCTCACCACCCAAATGCAAACTGTTGCTTTAGGATTGATCTTCGACGGTACCTCTGCTAATAATAGAGAGTGAAGTGGTTGAGTGCGTTGAAAACTTCACTTACCTGGGAAGTCGGATCAGCCCTGGTAAGACAGTGGCTGATGAAATCTCTGCACGTATACAAAGGGTTCAATTGGCTTTCGTCAACTTACGCTACCTGTGGTGCTGCCGCAATATCCAATTGTCGAGTGTACTGTGCTGCAGCCCGCTCTGTTTTATGGCTGTGAAACATGAGCATTAAAGGTAGAAAGCTACAGGTGTTTGATCACCATTGCTTTTGTAGCAGAGGCCGTGTTTCGTGGTATCACCACGTGAGTAACGCAGAAGTTAAGCATACAGTTTTAGGGAGGAGAGGAAAGTCAGTTGATATGGATATGAACCTTCATCGACTGAGATGGCTGTGATGTGTTGCGTATGCCTTGTCACCGTCTGGATCGTCGTACAATATTAGATGAAGTATGCTCAGGCTTGAAAAAGGCTCGGAGTGGTCAGAGCAAAACATAGCATCAATGCATGAAGTCTTTGACTGTTCGTCCGAGCCATGTACGGCGATGCAGACTAGACGGTTGAAGTCCGCAGGACAAGAAAAACCAGTGGTTGGAGACTCTATATGATATGGTCCAGAATCAATGTCAATGGTGCAGATATATACATATAATCTGATCATTTTCTCATTCTTCCTTCGTCTCTTTTACTACTTTCCACTTCTTTTGACCGATGTTTCTTTCTTTCTTCATCTTACACTTTATTGCCTTGTTACTTGATGTGCTGATATGAGGTGTGACGATTTGAACAGTTACGTAGTGACGCCTGGTTCTGTGTTAATTTTGATGATGATGAAGCATGGAGTCTAAGTGGAGAGCTTTGATTACCACCATATATATGGTCCGTGCTCATTTCACAGTCAGACACTACCACAACACCTCACGGTCGACAGAATTGAATGTCACCGCTTCAAGAAATATATCGAATGTTTATTCCAGTCTTCAAGAATGGGGGTAAACCCTCCAATGATAATCAAAAGGAAATCAGTCTGATGAGGACAGAGTCCCAAGATCCTAGGTCCTATAAATACCCAACACAAAACTAAAACTCCAAAACATCGAACCAAAGAAAAAAAGACAGGTTTAAGACTCGACTGTGGGTGTATCAACTAAATCGTCACCCTCTGCAGACCTTGAAATACAGGAATACTCGTGCTCGACACTAGTTACACTTTGTACCTAAAAACGGTATTCAACTTTGTCGATTGGAAGTTTTTATGGTAGTCTCCAATTGAAGGGTTCCGGGTACAAGATGCAGGGTCTTCTGAAGACGTTTAGCGAAAATTTGAGGATGTTTGGGATGCGTTTCTCACCTCTTAAATTCAAACTACTGCTTCATGACCGCTCTTCATTAATATTCAGAATAACAGTATGGAGTAAAGTGAGTGTGCGCACTGACTACTTCACCTACCTACCTGGGTAGTTTTATGAGTCCTGTTGGGTAGACAATCAATCAAACCTTAGCAAGGATACAAAAGACACGATTAGTTCTTGTCAACATACACCACCTATGGCATCGGTGGCATGTGTTGATAACCTGCTGAGGGTCCAGTGTACTGAGTAGAATTTTACTCTAACCCACCGTACAACCGAAAAACATGACCACTAAAGGTGCAAGTGTTCAATCACTACCGCCTTAGAAGGATTGATGGCATGTCGTGTAACCGCTACATTAATAATGTGGACTTCAGACTTGCAGCCTTAGGTGAAACAGCTAGGTAAGATGATGAAATTATGGACCTTCATCTACTTGGGTGACTAGGATATGTTACGCACGCCTAGTTACTATCAACTGGAACGCACGGTATGTTAGTAGAAGCAGGCTCAGACAGGAAAATATTAAGGAAGACAAGAAAAACGTGACATCTGTCTATAAGGTCTCTGGTCGCTGATCTGCGTAGGAAGATGCAGAATTCCTGGTTAGGGTCCATGTGACAACTGAATTATTATTACTAAAGCATGAACAGCAATACAGCAATGGTACCAAGAAATACGCCATACATAATAGTATAACAACACTGTGAAGACATAAACGATGGGAAGTGGACAAGTAAGAAACGAAAACAACAAGAATAGCATGACAACTGAAACCGATGACTGAAGATTCTAGGTAATATTGCTCCGAATCGATTGTGACTATGCATTCAAGACTTGTCTTCGTCCTAATTGTTAAATAACACTTGAATATTTGCCCAACACCAACCGCTGATAACTTTCCCTAGTTTTTGATGAACCTATTTTTATTTCTTGCCTCGGGTTTTTGTATCTTGATATGTTGGTGTGACGTCTGGTATCTTGGACCGTTAAGCAGTAATGCCATGTCCCATGTCGATACCGACTAATTGGTCAGTGTAGTGAGGGTTAGTCGTCAGTAAGAACTTCTGAGGCTAACACAATAATAGTAACGCTATAACTTTGCATAGGTTTTTCCTCTAGTGGCTTTTAATCACTCTAGAGAGGACAAATCATTTTCACAACGACCCTACAAATTTATATAGCACTACTTTTATTCAACTGAAACAGCTTTTATAACTATCTAAATCTCGTTTTTATATTCATATTTTTATTCCACTTGATATGCCGCAGATATAGCATATTTTAATTGCGTTGTCAAACCTACTTATTCTGCAAGAAAAGTTGCTACACAATCAAAGTTAATTACAAAGGTAGCTCAATCTTTATGTTCAAGAATCACTCGAGTGGGAATAATGCCTTACTGGAAGACATTGCAGAAATGGACTTTTCTGCAATCATCGCAGTTTTATAGCACTGCACGCGCTACTTCAGCATTAACACGGAAATTCTCCACTTTTTCAGCAAAACAAACGCAATAATTTTGAACAATTACCGCCCTGACCACATTGTTTCTACACTACTGCACACTGTTTGATTTATTACCGCGGAATTCCTAGTCTCTTCAGAATGACATCTGCAAATCTACAAGTTTATTTACGTCTAATTTTTATTGCTCAAACTGTGTATCTTATCTAACAGTCAACATCAGTCACGTAACCGCATTTATTATACTCAGTGATATAAAAATTACTATCATCAGCTAGTAGTTTCAGATTTCTCATCTAAATTCGACAACTATTGATCATCATGTGCGATCCTGAGGTGAAATACCCCAATATGACAAGATATTGAACTTAAAAAACGTACAAAGAAAGTGGTAGGCCTCATTAGTGAATTGATATGTAAAATATTACTACTGAGGATGGAGACTACCGTGACTTCAACAATACTATATATTCGTCTTGTGAGTCGTTATTAACTCTTTTATTTTAGCGTAGTGTATGGTTTTTACTTAATTTCGTTGGTGCTATTGCGAGCTGTGGCAACCTGGACCGACAACTAACTCTGAAGTCGTACCTGTTTTCCTTAAAGATTAGAGATATCCTGTTGCATTTACGGAAGGATACATCTGCTAATTATGTGATAGGAATTAGTGGATACTTTAAATAGATAGAACAATGCAGAACCACGCACAAAGTGCATGACTTAAATTCGTCGAAATTCAAGATAGCCCAAATCCAAGAACATACGTGGCAGAATGATATTTGAACAAATGATGGATAAGTGCGATCTCAGATGTTTAAATGTGTGATAAAAGGTGAATAAACGCACATCTACGTGGTCACTATCAGGCAGTTTCGTACCAGTGATTCTCAACACAGAGAATCTTAGCCAAATAACTTACACTTCATAGCATGGCTCAATTATTATTCGGCAAACTCATAAACATTTGCCAAGCATTGCTGTAGTTAACTCTACATTTCAGTCGACTAACTGCAGATCAGTTTTCTATAACTGACTGCATTTTATATCAGTTTATCTGTCGAAAATGCTCTTCAAAACTTGAGGCAAAATAATCTTATCATAACTCATAATGTTCAATTAAAAACATACTTCAAATCGTAGGTTGATGAGCACAGATGCTAATCACTACCAATTACGGATAAACTCAGTCCTATGAAGTGAAATACCATTCCATCAACAAAAGTATACTCATAAAAATAGCACATGAACTTACTTCACCTAAGCCAGTGGAACATTGAGAACTGCTGCTGCACTTTTCACTGGAAATTGCACATACATATATTTCAGGGCAAGTGGGTTCTGAAGTGAAACTAAGGCGATGCACTGCCAAAATAAGCACAGATCTGTCGCTCCAAACAGACAGGTCAGGCACTTTCCTTAAATCACGGTAACTTATTACTGAATTATTTGCAAAACAATGTCTATGTAAGATTTGTTCATACTGACGCTCTACACCATCTGCCGAAGTTAGACTGAAGTTATTTCCAGTGAAGTTTGTCACTTCATACATATGCGTCACGAAATTATACACACACGATATGTACGGCACCACAGGAGAGATGCTAATATTTAGCGCCAAATGTTCTTCCTCTGTTGATGGACACAAATCCGTTATGATAGCTGTACATTCAAAACAAAAATGCCACATAAAAACGAAGAGAGAAATGTGAGCTATGCGAATTTCATTGCATGAAAACTTCGCATTATGTAAATTTGCAGGTGAACTTGTACTCAATAATTTGCCACTCCAAATACTTCAACCTGGATAACCTGGTACTATCGTAAGCCCTCACATGATAAGTGTAGCTCATAGCATCGTACACAAACTTGTGCCTGGTTGAGTTGCATCATATTACAGTAACTCGCTAGCAACATAGCGATCAAGGCTGAAATTATTCAAAGGATAGTTGTTATAGGAACTATACACATAATTCGAAACATGATCTTCGGAAAATGAAAATTCTCCATAAGTAAAGAATGAGGATTGGGTTGACTGTTTATGAAATCCCAACCCAATACGGAAGGCCTGTTTGTTGTTTGTCAACTTGTTACTTCTTTTTTCCGGTGAGTTATCTGAATACCTGTTGAAAGACAAGTATGCCTCGCAGTAGTCCACTTTGTTCTATCATACGGCTATGGGACATGACCTCTGAAAATACCAGATACGAAGGGACTACACGTTTTTTATCATATTGCCTTTGTAAGATTGTTCACAAGTGGTGGAGTTACTGTGTGAACAGTGGTGGGGTTAGGTATGGGACAGTAAGAAAGGAAAGCAAGTTAGCCGATGAGGTAGTGAAGTTTCACCGACTGAGATGACTTGGAGGTGTGATGCACATGCCTAGTCACCAGCCACCTCAAGGTGCCGCGTTAGTCAAGGTAGGATTTGTTGGAAGAATATTAAAAATGACCATAACGAGAGGCAGCACCAGTTTACCAAGTCTTCAACTGTTGTTCTGAGTCTTGTAGGGAGGTGTTCATTACCAGTTTTGAGTCTTCAAGATGGATATCAATGGTTAGACTCTTGATAATATGGTTCATAGCCAGTCACAATAGCGCAGATGTATACACTTCTTCTCATCTGCAAAGCATTGAACATTCTGTTAACTCTCATTTATTTGTCCCTTCCCATCTTTTATATGTTTGCCTACTTTGATCACTTTTCTATCCACTTCTTCCTTGTATACCGCTATGAAGCGTTGAAGTGAACCGATGCACTTCTGCGCCAGGTCTCAAGATTATCTGTTTGTAGGACGACAACTAATTCGTAAACACAGCGATATCCTGTTTAGTTACTGCTAATTACGTTATCTGTAACAATGTCATATTTTCATATTTGGATCTATGACGGAAAATAAACAGACTAAAGCGACATTATTTAACGCCACAGGACAATCCAAAACCATCTAGACTGAAAAGAAACAATACGATAAAATATAGCTTAACAGTAAAAATGTGAAGTCATCTGATACTTGAGGGAATCTTTGGGTTATCTTGAACTGTTCATCGGGGTTTCAAACTAAAAGTGACAGTGACTGTATTAATTAAGGCTACTTCTAGTAAAAGTAACGGCACTTAAGATGTACGTGAGCACATAACACAAGTTTCATGTTTTCTAAGGTGGAGGAAATCAGGAGTGACGAAGTGATACTCGGTTTTGGTTTAGTAGGCCGAGATGCACCTAAATATTAAAGCAAATCTGATCATAACCCCTCAAAACGTAACACTTGGTTCCAGATAACTTAGCAATTCTACAGGACACAATAATCCACTGATTCTAGATGCGGAAGCCAGTTAAGCGAAAGCTTACTATAGTCTATCAATAACTATTTGACACTCCAAGGACGATAGGGTTTCTCGATTTCAATAACCTAGCTCGGTAGACTGGTCAATGTTGACAGGTTCAAACCCGCTCCACCCACCTAAATTTGAGCAGCTAGGTAGAATCAATAGCTTTCACATAATAGGTGTGGCTTATCGTCTATTGCATGCATGTGCACAACGTTGGTGAGTGGATTTCGAACAAACTTTCGAACTTTGGCTGACCAGCACTCATTAACTTCATTGAAGAATGTATCTGAAGGTAGATATGTATATTTGACTGGAACAGTACGACTCCGAATTACTGATTCGAGCGTTAAGCTGATACACCGTAAGCTGATGCTGCTGAGATGCGTCTAAGGAACTATGTTACCGCCCAAAGCAGTCTCATTCCTTGTTGAACTCCCAATTAGATTTGTTCACTTTTCTTGCCAGGGCTTGAGATTTGGTTTCTTTAGCACTGGATCAGAATGATACTGCTGGTCGCTCAAGGAAAACACCTTAGTGTTGTCACAACCTTGTTTAACCAGCAGTAAGACTTCGCCCAAAAACCTGTCGAAGCGTAACGATATACACAATTTCATTAAATCACCATACAGCAAGGCTATCTGGCATGTTAGAACCTTGAAGAACGAGCGTTCAAGCCAATGTAGCTCGTTGGATCATTGTGATATGCAACACCGACCACCACGTAAAGAGAGTAGCTAACGGTCGTTTCATAAGGGTTGGACATTTTAGCTAACAACCTCCAAAGTATTTCTTTTTGCATACATTCCCACCTATTTTAGCATTAGTCTTATTCTGTCAACTTGTTCTTTGCAAGCTACTGTGAAGTCTGACAACTTGAACCGACGCACTTCTGTGCAAGGTTTTACGTTGATTTTGTGGCTTTACTAGAATCTAGAGCCTGAAATCTGTAAAGTAGATGAAATCACGCATACCTCAAAGAAAGATCAAAGAGGTGATTAAAGGTGATTTTTTTGCCCATGCTCTCCAAAGTGGGTCACTTATCCAATAAAAGCTTACTCGACTACGTGATATGGCTAGGCTTGCGCAGGAAAGCTTACAGAACTTATATCTTTGTTTAATGAGGGAACTGGTTATTCACTACTTCAAAATGCGGAAGGCAGTTAGGGAAATGCTTACTTTATTACATGATCACATACTTGAAAAGGTTCACCTTCAAATGTGACTAACCTGACGATGATCCTCTATAAAAACGCTCAGCCGGTACACTCAAGGGACTGACAATCAGAAACAAAATTGCTACAGAAGCCATAGTTACATTCAGTGAAGCATTATTTTGTGATTCATCACGACTTCGTTTTTTCTTATAACCCATTGAAATATGTTGTATGCTGCTAGTCTAAATTGCCGCTAATAACAAGGAAGCACTTTTATTTTTGCTGCAACTGGCGTACGTACTCATATTCCAATATAATGGCATATTCCGGTAGAAGTTAAAGATCATCGTGAGACATCACGCAGAATCAAGTGGTCCGCGCGTCCTTGGATAGAGTTTGAGTGACCTACAACCTCCAACTATTTAGATGACTAGCTGGTTGTTGAGGTCAAACTACGTCAGTAAACTTTTTAAAGTATAGACTGGTTGCCTGAATACAGTACTTTTAGTGGAGTCTGAATATGTGAAATAGAGTATCGAAGACATTTTCAAGTCTTCAGTAGAGCGGGCGCTTTAAAAAAGGATTGGTGTTTTTGTAGGTTTGATTACGATTGAAACGTTCTCTGTCTTCACTCAATACTGCTGAACATATATACGTGTTACTATATACACCTGAATCTTGCTTGACAACTGCCAAAAATGTCCGCGTGGTAAGTTGTAGGAATATCAGAGCCTCTGTTCAAGCGACGGGTTGTGAGCTATGATTGCAGTGGACCCACTGTCCCTGTGATCCCAGCCAGACTCCTGGTTATTTTGATATGCTTTTAGATGGCTTGATTAGTGGTGATTGTCAGTGGTGTTAATGCCGTAGAGCCAAATGCGATTTCAACAAATTTCGTGAGCCCCAAGGATTTGATGTTTCCAAACCTGACAGTTGCAAAGGTCAAGTGTTAATTATTCATACCTGTCGAATATTCATCACTGCCAGAGCAAGATGGAATGCAATGAGGTAACAGGTTGGATTGCGTATTTGACACAGTACCGAAATACCAACACTTCCCTACCAGACAGTTAGGGGACTGCTTACTAGTACCACAACGCAACACGACAGTCTACCAAAAGGACGTGCATGGTTTGCCATCTTATGGTTTCCGCACACACTTGCGGACTGTTAGAAAGTGCTAGTCACTGGTGAAGAGTGGTAAAACTGCCATCCGGTTAGACTCCTTGGTGGGGGAAGTCATGAATATGACCGTGGTATTCAGCTCTACATTGGAACACTGTGCTGCACATTTCCCTGTATAAGCCGACGGAGGGAACAGTGGACCGCTTTCAGGAGGATGTTTTTTGCATACAGCCCCCGGTGACACGTTTGTCTGGCAAATCGTACTGCACCCAAAACCCACAGTTACACTTTTTGGGTCTGAGAAGACAGAGAATAACCTCTGGATGTCCCCGCGCAATGCACTCTTCGGAATCACTTTCAGTGAAACTTTCACTTGGATTATCCGTTTAATAAGTGAACATGCCACAGGCATCAGGTTGTGGAACCCGCAAGTGAAGGTATAATGACTACCCAGTTCACACTTGTCGCGATCCCACAGCGGGTTATAAATGCACCTCTAAATCCGCTACCCACTAAGCAGTAGAAGGCTTAATGCTACAAGAAGTACTGATATTTTCATGGACAGCGCATGCAGCTTAGTTTTGCGATGTGCGGTTTCGATGAAACTGCTGTTAATTCGTCCTGGATGTATTCATGACGGACAGTAAGCTTACAATGAAAGAGGCAGGGCAACAAGTACCTGTGAAGCGTCGCACACACCGCCAATATTTCAACGACACAGTTTTTGAATCTTAAAATCCTTGATACATTCCCCGACACCTCTCCATACTTCTGCGGCACAATGTCCAAAAGGAGTGGTGCAGCATTTTCGGTTGTAATCTCGGCAAAGATTAAAATTTTCTGTTGAATATTTTGCATGAGCTTACCCCTTTGATAGTGTTTCTAAAGGTAACAACAATATATTTCATACAATGTAAGTTACACAAAAACAAAAGAGTCCACAGGTAAGATCATTTTGGCAACGTAAACTCGTCATGTTATTTGAGGAACATAGGAGACAAGTTTAAAGAAATAGCGTTAGTGTCTCACAGACAACAAAGAATAAAACAGCCAGGCATGACCACAATTTTTCGGGAAATTAAAGCGAACTCGGTTCGAAATTGGGAATTATTCAGCCATTGTTCGAACGATCAAACATTCTTGAAGGTAGTGTGGATGGTACAGCCGTGACTTTGAATCTTGCGCATTGCCAGTAAAGCCGTGATGACATGATGTGCGCTAACGATTGCGATTGCTAGGGCTCCACACGAATGAAGGGCCGGTAAGTTGGCCCTAGACGAGGAATAATGAAAGCAAATAGCAGGCCAAACCCAAAATAGAAGCGCGAAAGTACATCAATCTCTATAATATATGGGAGAGTCAGTCTTACTGACTAAAAAGGTTACTTGATGAAACGTTCTAAACCAATCGATGTGGGTAGGATACAAAAGATGACGTGAGGTGAGAAAAGCTTGGCATAAAACGGGTGCAAAATCAGGATATTCGTGGTGAGGCCATCCATCCTACGGCCCCTTCAAAGGTCGCAGAAACGCACTAATTATTTCAACTACCCCACTGCTTATTATTGCGAGAGCAATAAATAAATGTTTTATTCTCACACTGGTAACTTAGTGTGAGAGAAGTCAGCTTGCAGGCATCATCACACTGACACATGTCGAAAAGTCTACAAGATTTTACGAGTCCTGAATGGTACAGAGGGTGTGGCACTAAACTGCATTAAAAACATTGGAAGACCCTGACAGTTATGAAACGAACAAGGAAATATCACTTTGCAGCGTGTACGGAGTGTTAAAGCTTAGGTGATAGTAATTCTTATCCTCATATTATGAAGTTAACTTGAGAGACACCAGTCTACAGGCATTTTCAAGTTGACAACTCTTGAAAGTTTACAAAATGGTGTTTAGCATTAAATAATTAACATATCAAGTCATTGATGTGCGCAATCTTATTAAAACTTGCCGCGGCTGGTGAGACAGGCGCGGATTTCCATCTCCTATCACACAGACAGGCTCCACTGTTCGGAAAAAAAGCGCGCATTGATCGAAGTTCGCGTTACAACCAGTCGACGTTGTTAGTCCATTTGCATGGTTTGTTATTTAGTAATATAACCATCTGCTCACCAGAAAGTTCCCCAGCTTTTAGCTTTCCTGACCCCAAAGGGCGGTATCCATAGTTATTTAACCAAAGTGAGTGTCTAAATCAATGCATTTTCAGTTCACCATGTTACGTTTAAAGGTAATGGAGATTAGTCCATGCGGATTGGCGCGTGTCAGCGCTGTGGCTTTCTGATTTCGTGCAGCCTTTGTTGGGAGTGTATAGCGCTCGACGATTCCGTGATTCCGCACCATAAGCGTCGTGGAACCAACATCATTTAGGGTCCACACCCCTTGTGAGGTTTGGCTGTTACATGGCCACTGCGATGAGATGAAACAAGCTGTCTTTTTGCTTGTTGTGGCCCTGGGCTTCGAGTTCGTGGGGTCACTTAAAAGACTTACATATCTATATCACTTCCGGATCCTGATTCTTCGGTCCTTCTGCAACAGAGCATATGGTAGAGACGGGTCTACCAGGGGCCTCCAGTATCTCCCCGCCCGAGGCTGCCGGGTCATTGATGGCAACCGATGAAAGTGTCACCGAAGTGGGTCGCACATGCTGCGGTGGTTACAAGAGGAACATTTCACTGAAAAGACCATCGTCTAACGTTCACTGGCCGACAGATTTTCGAAAGCATGCGGGCATGTGGGTTGCTGAGTAATCCCCTAGTTTGATATTACGCAGCAACTCACCCAAGCCCGTTGGATCTTCTTGAACGCTAAGATATTGATTCTGGTGAACCATTGGCCGCTTTGGGTTTGCTAGATGCTATTCCAATCATCACACATCTGCAATGTCGTTACAACCTGATTTCGTCAAGCAAATATTACATACTGCCAGCACTACCCTTAGAGACAGTAGTGGAGGTAACATAGCAAAGGCTATTCCTGCCTCCATTTTTAGGTTTCCCAGCGTAAAAGAAGGTTTGATGGAGTCAACTCACTGGGGGTACCTCTTTGCGCTCTGCTCCCTTACAAGCATAGCAATAGGAAAGGTTCATCGTTGAATGATGTAAATGCCACGTCATAAAACTGCCCCAAAGAAACCAAGAAGAAGAAATACAAGCACGTTAAAGCATTCAATAGCACCAATTCAAGAAGTGATGGTAACTTTGGTAGTGAAGCTACACTTTCTATCCCAGGTAGCTTCAAACGTACTCCTAGTGTGATCTACGAGTCCAGTGCTTAGCTGGGAAATGATGGTTTCAGAGTCAAATACCCCTAAAGCACTGTCAACTCTCCCCCTGCGGCTTTTCACCAGCCCGGAACAATTCCAAAAGTGCCTCACAAAATTGGAAACTTGGGTCCTGCAAGTCATACACGATGGGACTGGGACTGTAGTCGATGAAACTAGCCTGGTCAACAGATGTGTAGTGCGGGATTACAAGACTAGTTTTCCATTCCGTTAGACACGTTCCACTTTCCATCGAAAGAGAGAACAACTTCAACAGAATCAAGGGAAGGTCCTGTCCACTATTCCTTAGAGCCATTGAATCTAGGCCGTCTATTCCCATTCCTTTTGTAGGTCTTAGGCTTTTGATGGCTTCAGCTACATTTTTGCGAGTGAAGTCTACAGTCGCAAAATGGCCACTGGAGAGTGCGCGTTTCACAACCGAAATTTCCAAATCAGTCACTAAATCATGACTGGGTTGCTGTAGATTACCTCGTTATGAAGCAAGTGTTGTGTGTTTTATGTTGCTTGAAGGCATTTCTTTAGAGATGACCTTAAGTTGTATACCTTCGAGCTAGTTCTAAGGGTTTGTAACTCATCATTTCGGGCCCCTTGTGCATGTAAGCTTTTGAAGAATTCCGGGGCATCGCGGATTGGGTGCAGTGTGAAGGAATCCTTAGTGGAGTGGTACAGATTCGACAGCCACCTGAGCTCTTTGTGGCGTGCGCGTGGAATGTATTCTGAGTGGCGGTGTAGTTTTATTGTTTTCACAGGAGCAGCAGTATCCAAGCACGATGTAACATCCTTGTAAATAAGGGTTACCGTGGTTGTCAGTGAATCAGTGGTTAGGCAGTCGTCTCGAGGGTAGAACCTTAGAAGCTCTGTGAGCAGCCCCCAGTCCGTATCTTTATAGCTACGACATTTAATAATCCAAAAGGCTTGCCTATTAGACAACGGAATACCACTGAGTGATCGCCATTGGAAAATTCGCCGCCAACTTAAGTAGTTACCGGGGTGATGTCATGGGGAAATGCT